GTGACCATTTCAGTTTTTCTTAGGGACCAGGCGAGCACTAAGAGATGATCAGGAATCTCTGGACTTCTAGCTCATTCTATGAACCACATCTTTGTCCACTTCTCAAAAATCCCAGGGACACTGTAGTTGCTGGGGCCACGGTGCCTCTCCGCAGCAGGTGACATCTGTAACACACTGTGGTGGAATACAGGCCAAGGGACAAGTCGTGAAAGAGGTTCTGAAGCTAATTGTTTCTAGTTTCAACTCTGCTGCGGCCCTTCCTTCGTTGTGGATGCTAAGTCTGCAAAAAGGTAAACGGACAGTGAAAGTGTAAAACAGGAGTGAGGCTCCACGGCTTCAGGATGGCTCTAGATGGTAGAGAGGCCTGGGCCAAGTGTTCAGTGGTTGTCTTACCGAGCTGTGTGACCGTTTTATCTGCCAGTTCCTTACAAAGAAGTTATTTTATAACTTAATATTAACAATTCCCACGGAACGTCAAAGAACTCTCGAGAGGACACTGGTGTGGGTCTCCCCCGTGACGCGGGACCTTCTGTATCTGTATCCCATTCTTCACAGCAGAAAGCTTGGCAGAGAGACGAGCATGGACCTGCTGGCCCGCAGACCCGCTCGCCCCCAGTCTGCACTGCACGGCCCTGCATGTGTGCTGTTAAAGACAAACATGGCCCAAGCCGCACTGTTTCTACCATTTCCTCTCCAGACTGCTTCATGCGGTATGCTCGTGGGACTGCCCGGAGGCAAGCTAAACTCTTACAACTCCTCCGTGGTGCAAAGAGGAAGGTCTCCGTCTCCAAGGCAGACACACACACACACACACACACACACACACACACACACACACACACACTCGGTGTCTTCTGAGCAACAAAAAGGCAACGCCAGGCGTTCCCCATTAGCACAGTTCTCGCCACATGGGCATTTCAGAGACTCAATGATAAAGGTGTATTTGGACCTGGGATTTTAAGTTTCCTTTTCCAGTTCACTTTTCTATATTTTGGGTGACAACCATTTTTACTATGTACTACCGATTTTGCATGAACTCTACATATATCTTTATATGAAAAGGAGCTCCTGATGTAAGGGATTTTAATGAGAACATTTCTGAACACCCTTAAGGCTGAACTGCCGATCTGGCATCCTTTCTTATCCTGAAAAGCTGTGTTAGCTGACAGCGGCGACCTCTTCTCCCCTCACCACGCTGCCAGACTCGAAGAGCCAGCATCTGGACCCTGTAGCAGTAGCAACAATGGTACTTCAGAGGCCACGAGCGTGACCCAAGTCAGTCAGCAGTCGGTCGTAACCCCACACGAGAACAAAATACAGGCTGAACTGGGCAGCCCTACAGCCTGTTCTGGGCTCAGAGCAGAATCTTCTGAACTGTACATAATCAATTCACCCCGAGAGGTCTAACATTCTTAGGATCCAGTGCCAAGCCAGGCAGACACAGTTAGGTGTCCCTGACATCCCTGTGCTAAGCCTCACTGAAAGGAGAATGCAAGGGGGGGGGGGGGGGGGGNGGGGGGGGGGGGGGGGGGGGGGGGGGGGGGATGGAAGATGCGCCTGGATCAAGCCTGCAAGCCAGCCAAGACTTTTCAGAAGTAAAGCTAGCCAGAATGAGAACGGAAAGGTGTTTCTTCGCCAGGAAGGCGGGCATGTTTAGCTGCAGGGGAAGGGGTGGTGTTTCAGTTCTCCACATTTGTGCCGAGGTCTCCGCAGGCAAAGCCAAGGTGGAGGAACGGATGGAGGTGAGAGTACGCGACACAAAGAAACTAAAACCATTGCTGGGGCAACGAGGAGGCCACTTGCGAGACGACGAGGAAGAGCAAAAGATGCTTTACCACCCCAGTCCAGACCAACTATTGGCTCAGAAGACTCCACTCACAGACATACGGGGACTGCCAAGTCTTCTCTATGTTCTCCATGCCTTTAGCTCTATATTCCACTCAGAAAGGTCAACATGGATCCAGCACTACAGGTCTAGCAAACCAAAAAAAAAAAAAACAAAAACAAAAAAAAAACATTGACAGCTTGTACTGTTTGCCAGAAATCAAATGAGTAAACCCTTGTAAGCATCCCCATAGAATCCATGTAAGGATTTGATGCCCATAGAGGGCGGCCAGGGCTTCTGGAGATTTTCTGCATCCACCGATTAGTTCACAAGTAGAGGGTGACAAATAACAATACCCCCTTAGCTTTCAAGAAGAACTGATCATCACAGATTTAAAAAAAAAAAAAAAAAAAAGGAACAAGGGAGGAAAAGAGGTCAGAAGAGAAGGGATGATGGTGCCGCAGCTGGGGACGGGACAGTCAAACAGGCCTGCTTGGTTGTTCGTTCCTCAAGTCTAGCCCACTTCTTCTATCCTGGAGGCAAAGATAAAGCAGCGTTCATTTTACTTGCAATACACCAACTGTCCTCAAAAGTGGGCAGATTTTAATCCGTCAAAGGAGAAAAACAGTAGGCATTTATCAGTACAGAACACCATCCAGGGCCTTGCTTACCTTGCAATCACCTAAGACAGATTTTAACTGACCCCTGTCAGTAAGACGGGTTCCCCAGAGCTACTGTTCCTGCTCAGGAGTCAGGCTTCCCAGAATCACTTCCATAATGGAGACTCCAGGCCCAAATGCATCTGCCTTAGTCTGGTGGTAGAGTCAACTCCACCCCCCCCCCCCAGCCCCGTGACATGCAATTAGATGGCAAATTAATGTTCTGTGTGACCTGGGCTTGACTGTGAGAACAGGCTCTGACCTGAAAAATCCCAAGAGAACAGGAAAAAAAAAAAATGAGACAGAACATGGGAGAAGCAGAAGGTACAAAAAGACAAGGGAGTCTATTAGCACGGGCCTTTCACCGACACCAAACGGAGCTGCAAACAGACAAGACAGTACATCTGAACGTGGCCCATTTTTTTTTCACCCACGGATAAACACAACATAACTCGGAGCCCCGTGTAACAGGTTCTTGGCATGGACCCACAGTTTGACAGCCCCGAGATCTTCGGGAAAGAGGCCACGCACAGTTGCAGGCTGCAGGCCAATCAGGGTCTCTGGAGATGATACAAGTTCCAAAAAGGCCTTGCTTGCCCTCACACACCGCTGCCAACAAAAGCCTGTCTGACCTCAGCTTCTTAAGTTAGGCAAGACAAAGGACGTCCATAAAAGGGAGTTAAAAAAAATTGTAAATAATAAATGCCTCCATCAGTAGGAAGCAGGCTGCTGATGCGGACACGGAAAATTAACAGGTCTACTTAGACTAGAAACCCTAGGGGACATGTTCATCTGTCAATAAATGATGCCAGTATGTGGTTCTTGCCCCTTCTCTCCCAAGAAGCCACTTCAAATACAAGCGCCTGGCTCTCGAGCACTTAGACCGGGCATTCTGCACACTAATTGGATTTTCAGAGCCGTTCCTGCTCTGCAGTGGGAGAGATCTCGCTGTCCTCAATCCTCACAGGCCCAGAATGTGATCTAAAGGCAGCCATGCACGGAGCTTCCAAGGCGTGAGGACAAAGCCATGTGAAGTCCTGCCAGCAACAACGAACCCTGGGGCTTGATCAGAACATCTCAGGATTCGGATTTCAGACGCAGTCAGCATTCGGACTACTGCCTGAGAACATCTGAGGCTAAGGCCAGCCCTGAAAGGCCGCTGACACATAAAGGGATTCGGTTTCTGCAAGTCTGATGCCCCTTCTGCTACGGAGAACACACTCCAGCGGCCCCTCTCCACGAGGGGCTGTGACCGCATCTCTCAGATCAATCCTGCGGGGCACAAGGGCACACTGCTCACTGGGCTAGCAGAGCGGAACACACGCATCCCGCTCTTAGAGGGTGCACTTAAAACACGAAACCAAAGCCTCGGAGAACCAGTTAACACTTGAATACACAGGACTAAACTCTTGCTTGTAGGTTTTTAGAAGAGTCACTAGGAAGGTATCTACAAAATGGGTTATTCCCAGGAGGCACACACGAAAAGGCTGCCTGTGGTCAAACTGTCTGCTTCTTTCAGAAAGTCCCGACGAGCCACAACCCCAACAACCAGCCACCTGTTGGGGGAGGACTGGCTGTGCCAGACAGGTGGCCTGATTCCCCATTAACTCATCTCCCTCAGCACTCCAGGTTCCTGTTCAATCCTGTTTGTAAGTACTTTAAGAGCTTTGCAGGGACGAGCTCTGCAGCGGCCCTGCGTGCAGCCAAGACCACCTTGGGATTATGTGGTTTACAAAGAATAACAAAGTAGCAACAAAAGGCTGCGTCAGAAGCCCGGCACCTGCTACCCGAGAACCCGCTGATTGCTCAGATGTAGATGGCACCAGGAGAGTCATCACAGGGGTCTCCTACACCGGGAGGGACCAGGAAGGAAAAGGAAACCTGCATCTTTAAACTGTGAAAGGGGGAGCCTTACTACAGGGCCAAAATCACCCATGGGAGCTGAAAGGCACCCTCCCACATCTCCCCACATCCAGGAAAAAGAACGGTAGCAAGGATCTCAGCCTAGCTCTCCCAGATTGAGTTAAGATGGGAGCAGCGGACCCTGTGCCAACACAATATCTATCTAGATTCGTATGTGCCTTCAAATACCATTTTGCTATTTCAAGTATAGTCAGTGAAGATGACAAGAGAATGGCACACCACATAGGTGGTCCTTTTTGAGGGAGGTTCCAAGAACTCTAGCAGCTACCTGAAGCCATGGTAGATCAGAACCCTAAAAATGAGTTTTTTTGTTTTTTGTTTTTTCAAGACAGGGTTTTAAAGGCGTGCGCCACCCGGCATAAAAATGAGGTTTTTTCCTATGTCCAGGACTAAGTCTAACCTGTAAATAAGATTGGTAAGATATTTAACAATGTTGAATCAGGCAAATGAACTGTAAGGAAAACCGCGAGACCATTGAGCATCCTCAGACCAGGGCTGAAGTGAGTCCCTGAACCTGCTCGCAGGTGAGGGAACTGGACACTTAGCTTTCTCCTGGCAGTGCGGCCCCAGCAGAGGGGCAGTCGGGCACTTACCGAGGACTCGCTGTCCCTAATGAGAAAGTCGCCCTCGACGCCCCGCTCATTGAGCACGCACTCGGCCTGGTGCCGCGTCACGTTGCCATAGTACCACTCACGCCCAGCGAATCGTCCGCTGGCTGAGGGCCCGGTGTAGCTGATCTGCGGGGTGTGCGTGGGGTGCAGGGCAGGCCCGTCACTGAGGACCACCACGTAGTTCTTGGGGACCAGGCCCACCTGGCCCCGGGCATTTTTGCATTTCCACCACTCAGGGTCGTTCTCGGGCTTCTCAATCACCTCCATGGTCTCCCCCTTCTCGAAGCTAAGCTCCTCCTCAGTGACCGAGCTGAAGGGGTACAGCGTCTGCACCACATGCAGCACCCGTGCGCCTTGCCCGTTGCTCATCGCGGCGCCCCGACGAAGGCTCAGGAAGCTGGGGGCCTCGGCTGCCGCCTCATCTGCCTCCTCCAGCACGTAGTTGGAGGGGAACCAGCCGATTTGCCCATTGAAGCTGCCGCGCCACCAGCCATCGCTGCATTTCTCCATAACTGTGACACGGGAGCCCTTCACCAGGGACAGCTCATCCTCTCGTTCAGCTACGTAGGCAAACTTGACAAAGGCAGGGATATTGAGGTCGTAGATGCGGTCGGCGCCGCTGCCATTGGCTGGGTACTCCGCATCAGTGCTCGGCGTTGGCGATGCATCTCTAGCGCTTGGCTTCCTGCGTGTCTTTCCGAGGCCTGTGAAAACAGGGCAGAGGGCTCAGTTGGTACTGGGCGCATTGTTGTATTACCCACGATGGCGTGGAAGTGTTTTTTACCAGGAGAACACAAAGACTGGTTACAAATGGCAGTGACCAGTTGGGGGGAAATGGTACAGCTGTGTGGTACAGAGAGGAGTGACGAAAAGCTGATACCCATTAACTAATGCCAGTGGGTCTATGACACAAAGACAGCAAGGACAGAGAAAAATCCTTCTGGAAGGATGGCCAGCTTTAGAGAACCCCTGGGGCTCAGCATTGAAGGTGCCTGCAATTTTATACAGGGTAAGGAGTTGGACTAAATGAATGTAAAGATCGATGGGCTGGTACCCTGTCCTGCATCCACGCACCTCCCTCCTGAACAGTTTGTTCCTTGTTGCTCCCCTGAATGAGCTGCCCTCCTATGCCCTGCCTGCAGGCTGGCCCTTCCACCTTCTGTCTCCACTTGTAACTCATCTCTGCTCACAAAACTCGGGACTGATTATCGGTCCCAGCTAAGTCCAAGGCAGGCCTCTGACGACTGTGAGAGGAAACCTGCAAGTGGATCCTCGGATCAACGAAATGGGCCGCAGAAAGCCAGCGGATGGAGTGGGTTTAAGGGGATCGGAAAATCTTCAGCGAGTACCGTGGTTTGCCTGTGCATACCTCTGTCAGCCACATGTGAGCAAAGCACTGCCCTGTAATGTGAAACACACTTCTTTCCATACGTAGGAGGGTGATTTTTGAGAAGTCCTGACCTAAGCACGCTTCTGACCCAGTTAAAACGTAGAACTCCAGACAATTCTAGGGGAGGAAAGAACACTGGCTAAGAGCAGGGGATGGCACTGCACGGGGCGAGACGCCTAGGTTTTTCAGGGAATCCTCTCCCACCAGCTCCGCTAGCAGCATTCTGTGAAGTCCCTTGCGGACTCCCCTTCTCCCCAGTGACACCGAGTGACCTCCAGGGGTAGTTGAGTTCTCTCGTCTTTAACCTGCAGACTAAGCAGGCTAGTCTTCAGGGCGGCTTTGCCCAGGGTGCGGGTCCAAATGCATAGGATTGAATGACAAATCCTATGTCATTCAGTGGGGCCACTGGCCCCAGTTCAGAGCCAGGAGCATCTGAGGCGATGCAAACTGCTCTGAGTGAATACACAACGCAGTTAAGGCTATGGCAACTGCTCTGCTGCTTCGTTCTGGACCACAGCATCGGATACATATACGTGGGGATGTAAGAGCAAGTCAGAAGATTTAGGTCTAAATCTAGATTTCCATTCTACTTAAGAGTCATCTTGGTCTTCAATCCCAGGTTCAGTTCAATCCTCACCTGGTTTTCCCTGTGTGTGTCATTCTTCACATATAAGACAAACTGAGTTAAGGCCTACCTATTCTTAACATGCTTGTGTTAATTGCTATTTAAAGGCCCCATCTCCACATAATCCCAGTTTTGAGGTCCTGGGGGTGGTGGCGGTCAGAATCTCAACATATTTAGTCCGACAAGGGCATCTAAGTTCAGACAATGCACATGGAACACACAAGTATTCCAGAATCGAGGTATTCTTAACTGAGCAAGGGTTTTGGATGTCTTTGATCAGAACAGCACTTTGTCACAAGAGGTCCCAAGTCCTCTTCAAAGACTCTTGGCCACAATCCCAGTGACGCCAGAAGGCCAGGGGTGTGCAAGCCTACTGGGAGTTGGGCCTCTGACACCAGGAACTCTCATGGCAGCTGCCGGGACAGAGCAATCCAAGAGGTAGCTGTACAAACTGTGTGTGTATTGGTGGAGGGTTTGGTCAATATCCCGGCCATGGATATTATCCCAACGCTCACAATTCTCCCCAAGCGAGTGGGGAAAACAAGATTGGGAGAGATAGGGGAACTGGATGGCCATTCCCAGACAGTGAAGTGGTATAGATCAGTGCACCCAATCAAAACATATTTAATTCATAATAAGCCAGATGCCCAGCTCCGTCAGAGGAACTTATTTCCGTCTACTGGCCTGAAACTGGAGGTCAATGGTTCCTTTTATGGCAGAAGATGGTGAAAACAGTTCTTAAGTTTCCAGTTACAAGTAGGCAGAGCCCCGAGATTTTAAGATAGGAGAAGTAGCATGGGCGAGGAATATGGGCAGAGCAGCAAGCGCAGACAGGCTGGGGAGATGCTGAGTGGGTAGAGCATGCGTGGTAAAGTCACGTGGGGTGCTGAGAAGGGGGCCCATCTACCCACTCTCCCCCACTATTCTCCTTGCTCTGGACCTGCCCAATGGTAGAGCTGGTGTCACCTAAAACAGAAGGTACCAGAAACCCTGAATGCTGGGACAAAATATTCTGTTTCACCCTCTCCTAGGGTTGGGAGTAGCAGGGAGCTGGGCACCCACAACAAGGTCAGGTGGCACCGCCTGTGCGAGGATCACGATAGAAACTGTAACCTCAGGGTCAGGCTAGCCTGTGTAATAACTCCCAGCCCACTCCTCCAGCCTTGACTGCCCGGAAGCTGGGACAAGGCACGTGAAGAAGAGGCTAGCTGCCCCACGCCCTTGGCTCTGTGTGTAAACTTTCCAGCGTGCCTTTCCTGCCTCCTCACTTCTCTCATGAAACTCCCACCACTGATTGCTTTTAGTTGAAACACAACTTCAACTCTCATGTGTTCACTATTTTAACACACTATTATGTCCTTTCTCCTAGAATCTGACACATTTTCTCAATTGAGAGAGGCAAGCCCATTTCTCAAGGACCCAAGTCATATTTACTGGCTTGAAACAGCAAACCCACAAAAACATGGCAGAATGTCTTCTCACCCCATCTATACCACATGTAGGGATGTTTCTAGTGCTGTCCCCAAGAATCCTTCTCCCTGGGATCCCAACAGCCAACTCCCTATGCAAGCACCAACAGTGGGGGTCCCTCCTGATGTTCTCAATACATCTCACCCAGAACAAATACGCCTAGTACCTGCCACTTTATACTGACAGCACAGTGTACGTCACGCATCTGTACCAAACCCTGCTTGAGAGTTCAACAACCCATTTCCAATTCTCACGTTACTCCTAAAACCGTCCCTCTGAGAACTGACCCGAGGCTGTGAGCTCTGCAGCTGGGCGTGCTGCCGCAGCTTGCTTTGCATGCGTCATATGGATGAGACTCTCTAGAATGAGCCCATTAGAAACCCTCCAACTGCTAGCAAGCTATGTATTGGGTCAGGTGAAGTATCACGTTTGTGCAAAGCAATGGCTTTCCTGACAGCCTGTTCAATAATGCATGAACTGGAACACCCTGGCAAGGGAAGGAAATAGAACAAAGGAGGAAGAGAAAAATCCCAGCGAAAATTCCCCAAACAAAACACTTGCAAGACGCTGTTTTCTAGGTCTTAGGAGTGAGATTTTAACATCTACACTGAAGATCTGTGCTCAGAGAAAACGGTATTGGGCTGAGAGCAGAACACTTACTTACAAACCATTTCCAGGGCCCTGTGCTTACTGCCTCCAGCAGGAAAACAAAGCTGCGGCATTTACAATTAAGAAACCTTAGAGGTCCACCTGTGCAATAACCTGATACTACATAGTACCACGGGCTGTAACAATTCATCTCCTGAAGTTCTGGAAGCTGGGAATCTAAAATCACAGAGCCCACAGACCGGGCGGGTCCTGTTTCACAGCAGTAAGAGTGGGGCCTCCTGGCTACGTCCTTACCTGGTGGGAAGGAGAAAACAGGTTTCCCTAAGGCCTTTTAAAAAAGGACACTGGGCAGCCATTTTTGAGTCCTCTCAAAGGTCTTATAAACCTCCCAAGAGGAGGGAGAGGATGGAGTGAGGTTTCAACGCTCCAGCTGAGGCAGAACACAGACGCTTGGGCCTCAGCAGCCTGGCCAATGTTTTTCAGCTCCTGCCGTGGGCAGTAAGCCTTGAGTAATGCTGCCTACTGCCAAGGAAACGGAGAAGCAAGTGCCCATGTCCCTGACATTTCTCCCTACAGCACCTCTGAGCAGCGATGATGCCGTTTCTCTCCACAGGGCCCTAGGCAGAAAGGCCATCAACCATATGCTCAGCAGTTGACGTGGGTTTCAGACCCTCAGAAGGGGTGACTGGACCAGCTGGGTTGTCCCAGGCCAGGCAGCAGCCTTCCCTGGCACAGAGCTGCCCAAGGTGAGTAAGGTTTGCCTGCTATAGGAGGTGACCAAGCTCCCAAAGAAGCCACTTCTCTAGAGACCTAAAAAAGAGACCAGCTACAGATTGTGCCATAGTGTCTGTCACCTGTACACGATAAAATGTGCGCTGTGGAATTGTATTTCTGGTCTGCGAGCAGATAGCTCCATTTTAAATGGCTAACAGCCGAGCTGGATTTAAAGGGGGACGACACTTTAATACTTTCTACTTTCGTGACAATTTTTTTTTGGCCCTAGGTGTTAGCTTTAAGGCCCCGAGTTACATATTTTTTGATAATAACAGGCACATATTAACTTTCTCGAATAAGATTATATACACTAAAGACCGAGTTCTAATAAAAGTTTGAACGTGTCATACATTATTAATGTTATTCATTTTAAAGTCAAAATCCTTTATGCGCTCCCCCCCATCAAGATGAAGGGCTGTGATAACAAACACCTCTGAGACAGGCTCTGGCTGTCAGTTTCCAGCTGGAGCCCTGCAGACTTGGGAGAAGATGTCAAACAAATTTGATAGTTCTGAAATATATTCAAGCTAACTCGTTCAGATGGTGTGTGCTTGGATTCTGGGAACTCTGGGGGCAAATCACTTAATTTTGCCACTAATCATATCGGTAACCTAAGTGATACGGAACCAAAAATATTCCTTACACTTAGAATACTATTTAAACTGTTGTGATTAAAGGGGATTAATGTGTGGGGACTCCCTCCATTAGAGTTAGGGCCTATTAAAGCCAGCTAAAAAATTAAGAAAGGCCTTTCTTATCAGAGGCCATGAGATCGGACAAGGTTTGAGGAAGGAAGGCACAAAGTGACCGCGGCAAGTTTTCATGTGAAGACAGCA